TATTTAGCCATACTTCAAATAAATACAAAAGTTTGTTAAATGCAAGCGCAAAACTTAAAGGAGATGAACTGTTCCAGTCCGTGACTAAGGATTTGCCATCGAATGCGTGATTAGAATAGTTGAGGAAAAAATGTCCAGCGTGATTATTAGATAGGAAGGGTAAGGTCTACTTCTTCTTCTTTCCCTTGCCCTGTCCACCAGCGGCTGGTGTTCCAGTCAGTGCCGCCATCTGGTTTTTGAGGGACAACAGAATATCAACTTCGGGTTTCCACACGGCTGCATCGCCAGAGGCCTTCAGAGTCCTGACCCTTTCTGCCTGCTGGGCAATTTTGTCCTCCAATGCCTTCACTTGGACAGGATCAGCTGGGGCAGTGGTTGAGGGAGCAGGAGCTACGTTTGCTGCAGGAGCTGCCTTTGCCGCCTTTTGAGCCGCCTCCAGTTGCTTTTTGAGGTCCAGCAGGACATTTACCTCCGGCTGCCATACGGCTTTGTCTTTAGTGCTGCCTTTAAGTTTGCGCACTTTGTCGCCCTGTTCCTGAATAGCCTTATCCAGATCCTGAACTGATTGTGAACCGTTCGAGGGAGCAGGAGCCGTGGCGGGCACGGCGGACGGTGCAGTCTTTTTAGCCTCCTCCAGCTGTTTTTTAAGGTCCAGCAGTTTGGTCACCTCTGGTTGCCACACGGCCTTATCCTTGGTGGTGGCCTTAAGCTGACGCACCTTATCCGCCTGAGCTTGCACGGCTTTCTCTAAATCAGCAGCGCTGGTTTGACTCTGGGCTGCACTCTTTGTGTCCTGAGCTCCGCCATACTTGCCCTTAAGTTCGTCGATGAAGGACTGCTCCAGTTTGGCAAAGAGCGGAGCTGGTTTGCCGATTTTGTGACCAGCGCGGAGTAGCAAAGTGACAAGTGGTTTCCTACGATAGAGAATGTTATAATCTTACTATCCACTTTATCATTCCGTTAAGAGGCACTTACTCAGCATTGAGCGGCGTCTGTTTTGCGTTGAGCTGACCAAACAGAGTCCGGGCCGTAGTTGGCATGTAGGGGAAGAGGAGATTCGCCAAGAGGCAGGCGATGTTGACACAGAGACCAATTATCGTGGATGCTCGCGCCTTTTGATCATCATTGCCCTTGAGTAGGACCCAAGGCTGTTGGCTTTGCATGTATCCATTGCAATGTCGAGAAATGGATAACAGATGACGAATGCCATCCCGAAGTTTGGCCTTCTCCATGGAGTTGATGTAACCGCGCAGCTCTCGGTTTATCAACGCAAGCAGAACCAGTTCATCCTGAGTGGTGACCACTTCGGGAACAGTGCTGTTGAAATTCTTTTCGCAGAAGACCAAGGCGCGGTTCACGAAGTTTCCTAAGTTATTTAGCAGCTCGGAATTGTTTCGGGCAGCCAAATCATTCCAGCTGAAGCTGGAGTCCTGACCTTCAGGCCGCGCAGAGGCCAAGTAGAAACGCCACACATCAGCTGGAATGCCAGTTTCCTGGGCATCGTTGCCAAATACGCCAATACCCCGACTCTTGCTGAACTTGCCGTCCTCATAGTTTAGATACTCGGTTGCCATGATGTGCGATACAAGTGTATGCCTCTTGTTGATGGCCAGTAGGACACTGGGCCACACCACCGAATGGAAGGGCACGTTGTCCTTTGCCATGAACTGGAAGAGTTCGACGTCTGTTCCCTCGGCCGGCTGCCACCACTGCTGGTACTCCTTCGTGTAGCGCTTCGTCATCGACACGTATCCAAATGGAGCATCGAACCAGACGTAAAAGACCTTCTTCTCGAAACCCTCGTGCGGAACAGGAATGCCCCACTTGAGGTCGCGGGTAATGCAACGTGGCTTGAGACCTTCCTTCAACCACGCCCTTGTGATCACCTTGGCGTTATGCGTCCATCCCCCTTCTGACTTATCAACCCACTCCTTGAGTTGTGGTTCCGCCTTTGGCAGATCGATGAACAACTGGTCGGAGGAACGCAGCACTGGAGCACTGTTGCACACCTTACATCTGGGACGGATCAGCTCAGTGGCGTTAACCAGCTTCCCGCACTTGTCGCACTGATCACCACGGGCATCCTCATAGCCACAGCCAGGATGCGGGCAAGTACCCTCTACAAATCTGTAGCAGAATAATAAGTAAGCTTAAGCTTAAAACAGAGTACCATAAATACCCACCGATCAGCCAGGAATCGATCGCACTTTTGGCAAAGCAACTGCTCCACGCTTTCTGTGATTATGTAGCCAGCTTTGAGAACATCCTTAAATGCTTCCTGCACAATGCTGTAGAAAACCAAGCGTTTTTCGATTAGGAAGTCTTTGCTTAAGCCACCAAAACTTACTCTGTTTGCTCTTGGGTTGTGGTACGACCAAAGTAATCAAAGCCAATGCCGAACCAGCGGTATATGGCGTTATGCAGTTCAAAGTACTTGTCGCAGATCTCGCGGGGAGTGAGTTTCTCTGCCAAAGCCTTGTTTTCGGTCGCCGTGCCGTACTCATCCGTGCCGCAAATTAACAGTGTGTTGTAACCAGCAGAACGGGAGTAACGGGCATAGATATCCGCAGACAGAACACAACCAATGATGTTTCCCAAATGTGGCACATTGTTGACATAGGGAAGCGCCGAAGTGATGAGCACGTTACGCTCACCGGGTTTCGGAAGAACAGTTCGCTCCTCCTTGAATTCCTTGGGAGCTGTGTAGGTAAAGGCAGCCTGTGCCGCGCTAATTTCCTCATCCGTAACAGTATCCGCCACCGTTGGCGTGGTATCCACAAGCAGTTTGCTTGCATCCGCCAGACTGAGACGTTTTAATGGTACATGATGCAAACCACCATAGCGATTTGACTGCTGCAGCGCATTAAAGGTGAGATCCTTCAGCGGCTGTTCGGCCAGAACTTCCTGCACTTCGGGAAGGGCTTTCACCCTGCCATACCAATCCCTCAAGCTGTCTACGTTCTGTGCTCCTTTTAGAGTGCCATCTGGGGCAAGAAGCGACCAAACGGCGATGTCGGCTGCGCTGGGCTTGTCGCCAGCCAAGAAGGGCGTGCCTTTCAGGCTGTCGTCCAGCTTCTTGACCAGGGCATTCAACACGGGCAGCGCGTTTGCATCTGCCTTGTGGCCCACAGCCATGTGGTGGGCCAAAGCCGGAGCCAGCAACGTGGCAGACCATTCCAGCCACTGTGGGAAAGCACACGCGGAAATTAGTTTAACCTTTAGGGGTCGTTGCCCAATAAGTAATTTTTGGAAGCCCTACCTCATCGCGCCGCTGCCCCTCGTCCACGAGAAGGTACTTGGCAATGGCTGCCGGCGAGAACAGGCGCAATCCGTTGTCCAGCTCCAAAGTGGGCAGCACTAGCAAGTCCCTGTACTTGGCATCTGCAATAAACAGTAGTTATTGCATCAGAAATGAGTCATTTAAAGGCATTCCCCAGAATTTAAAGGGAATCCGTGGCAGAACTCACCATTTAGGTTAACCAGCTGCACCTGCACCGGCCGTTTGGCGAATCTGGCTAGCATTAGCAGCTGCAAGCCCAGTGGGTTGCCCTCGTTCGTGTAGATTATCATTTTGCCGGGATCGGACGCTAATTCTAATTCAATTTACGTGGCAAAAAGGGTTAAAAATTCAACAAAATTTCGTACGATGCCCACGAGAAACTATTATTTTGGTGATGGGACGAATGGAAAAGCTGTCACGCCGCCTGTGATGTTATCGATTATTTATCCGTTTTATTTTAAGCCGACTGTAGCAATTGATAATATAAATTGGCATTTAAATAACAGGTAACATGGTAAATCTTTAAAACTTATATCTTAAATCTTATATAAGATCAGATCAGATGATATATGACCAATAATAACAAGTTATTAGTGTTTATGGATTAAGCATATGATTTTCTGACGGTTTTTAGGGTTTTCCGAACCACCAGTAGTGCCATCACCAGCAGCTGGAAACAGCTGATTTGACAGAAGTATTTATTTACATTTGAGACCGAAAGTCCGAGCTCATAATTAGTTTATATATTTAGGTAATCCTGCCCACTTAGAAAATGGGTGAACGCAAGGGTCAGAACAAATACTATCCGCCCGACTATGATCCGAAGAAGGGCGGTCTCAACAAGTTCCAGGGCACCCACGCCCTGCGGGAACGGGCCCGCAAGATTCACCTGGGAATCATCATCATCCGTTTTGAGATGCCCTACAATATCTGGTGCGATGGATGCAAGAACCACATCGGCATGGGCGTGCGCTACAATGCCGAGAAGACCAAGGTGGGCATGTACTACACTACGCCGGTTTTTAAGTTTCGGATGAAGTGCCACTTGTGCGACAATCACTTCGAGATCCAGACGGATCCCGGCAATTTGGACTATGTTATTCTTTCTGGGGCTAGGCGGCAAGAAAACCGCTGGGATCCCTTGCAGAACGAGCAAGTTGTACCGGAAACAAAGGAGGTACAAAAACGTCTCTTCGACGATGCCATGTACAAGTTGGAGCATCAAGCCAAGGATGCCAAGGCAGGGGCAGATGCCAAACCTGTGCTCCAGAAGCTAGTGGAGCGCAACATGAGTGTATGGGATGATATCTATATGGCCAATAGTCGCCTACGCGCCGAGTTTCGCCAGCAGAAGAAGGAGATCAAGGGTCAGAATGAGCTGGATCGACAGTTGTTGGCCAAGAGCAGTTTGGACATTGCTCTTCTGCCCGAAACAACACAGGATCGGGATATGGCAGCCCTAATGAAGCTGCAGACCAAGTCAGCTCTGGAACGGGAATCCGAGCAGCGGCTGGAGCTGCTTATGCGTCCAGCGCTTCCGGGGGCAACAGCCACCACTTTTGGGGGACTCAAGCGACAGAAGGCTCTGAATGCCCACCTCCACGTACAGGATCTGGGCATTCGGCGTAGAAAGTTGGACGAAACTGCATCATCAGCCCCGAACGAAAAATCCCTGAGTTTAGTGGGGGACTACTCCTCTTCAGACAATGATTCCAACAGCTGATTTGATAATGCTTTGTTTATAAATAATAAAATAATTATAGAAAACGAGACGTGTAGAATAGCTTAATATAATCCGTCGTTGGTATCCGCAGTTCCACAGTCTTCATCTCCATTATCCTCATTAACTTCAATGGGTTCTTCGTTGATCACACCATCTATCGTTTTGTAGAGCACCGTTTGAATGCGTTTACACAACTCAACTTGCTGGTTGTTGTTGATCATGTCGTTCACCAGATCCTCGACCAGGCGCAGTTTGTTGTAGATTTGATTGCTGGCCTCCATGATATCCTCCCTCTTCAGGCTAAGGGTCTTCATTTCATCAATCAGATCTTTGAGGGCGTCATCATTGGCGTTGACTGGGGATCGCTCCTTGGCGAATTGGCGCGGCTTGATGGGTTTGACCACTGGCGCATTGGCCAGCGACTTAATGTTTTCCAAGCCCGGTGCCTGCGAGTCGAAGAATTTCTTGAACCACTGCAGGAACTCAAAGTTGTCCTGGAAGCGTCCCTTGATCAGTCGATCGATTGGCACCGTTTTGTCCAGTTTCAAGCGATTGAAGGCTTCCTGGAAGAGCCTAAGATTGTGTAGATACTCGTGCTCCAGTTTGGCGGTCATCTTGACACGCTTCAGGTTAATGCAGTTTGGAAAGATCATCTCCATCATCTGGCAGTAGGCAGCACCTGGGGAAGACCATCGAACTCAGCAGCCTTGCAAAATTATCCACCTTATGGGTCTTACCCGAGCACAGCTCCTCGATCTTCTTGAAGTGTCCTTGGACCATGTTGTTCACCCACTGGAGCATATCGTGCCGGGACATATTCTCGGCATTGACGCTGGTTAGTGCCACAGTTAACTTCAAATCAGTCATTTTTTATTGTCTGTCAGAAAATGTCACCCTTTTACTGTTACTAGTTTCTTCCAAGTTTCTTTGTCTTCCAAAAATTTATGGCTAACTTCTTGATCGTGGTATATTAATTGGTTTTGTGCGCGTCTGGACCAGCCTGCACACTTAATTTGAAGCAATAAATAAATTTTTATATGTTCTATATGTTCTTAACAATCTGCACAGTCACTTTAACTCCGATTCCCGATTGTAATGCTCCAGGATCAGGGATGGGAGGTAACTGAATGCGTGTACCTGGCCCTAAAACACGGTACCCTATTTAGTATTTTGTGGTTTCTAAGGTACACCATTTAAAAAATACCGATAATGCTAAAAAATAACTATGTTCCGGGGTTATACATATGTCTGAAAATTGAATCCACTGACTCAATTTTTTATACGAAATAAAAATCATTTGGTTATCATGAATAGCCTGTATGAATAGTACAGTAATGATTCAATGATGTGAATTTCAAAAATTACTAATTAATACAAATTATTAATTTAATAATTATTATATATTTTTATATCAAAGTGTGATATGTGTTTTTATATCATAAAGAGGATATTCCTATTTAAAAATACTGTGTTTCGGGGTACCTAGGAAAAGGGTTTTTGCAGGATTAAAACCAGATAAGTTATCTTTTAAGCTATCGATACCAAATGGCAGCCGTCTTTTTTGAAAAATAATTAAGCCTTTATTGGAAATTATCTACAGTGTCTTAATTTTAAACTTACGTTCCACCGTTTTCACAAAGTCAATAAAGTCCTTGTAGAGAACCTTCGGAACCTCCAGAGCGGCAAAGTGTCCGCCCTTTTTGTGGTAGGTGCTGTGCACGAGGTTCTTGTACTTATCCTTCAGCTGGAAATCCAGGAACTGCATAATGTCACTCTTGAAACGGGCACATCCAGTCGGCACTCGCGTCGGAACGCGCTCCAGGTGCAAGTCCCGCTGTGCCTGGGCATACTGCTCCGCATAGAGACGCTGCGAGGTGGTGATCGAGTTGGTCAGATAATAGATCATCAGGTTGTCCAGCAGGGCATCCATTTTATAGCGCTTCGTGAGTCCTCCGTCCGGCAGAGATCGGTAGCTGGCATTCGTCCACGTGGAGAATTTCTCCAGGATGTAGGCGGCCAAACCCACTGGGTTACCGGTGAGGGCGGCTCCAATGGTGTCCGGCTTGGTGGCCTGGATGTGGAAGTAGCCACTCTCCTCCATTAGGTATCTAAGCTCGTTGGATTTGGGGAAGAAGAAGTCTTCAAAGCCAGAGGGCACAAACAAACTGGGCCAAAATTCGGCCACTAAACCCTTAGCCAGCGACTTGGGACTCAAATTGTTGCACATGTTCGAATGGTAGCCCAGCACGTTATCCGGATATAAGGTAGCAATATTGCTGCCAATGACGCTGCCCCAGTCTCCACCCTGGATAAAGAATTTGTCGTATCCCAAACGCAGCATAAGATTCCTCATCATCACGGCCACCTGAGCGGGACCGAGCCCCTTCCTTGAGGTGCCCTGCAGGATAAGACAAAGATAAGGTCATGACCCTTACGACCTTACGATCAGGCAAAACCCACCTGGGACCAGCCATAACCAGGTAAACTGGGAACCACCACGTTGAAGATGTACTTGTTGTTCTTGTCCAGGTTGGACTGGTATAGCAAATGGATAAGATCGTAGAACTCCCGCACCGATCCCGGCCATCCGTGGAGCAACAACACCGGATAGTGTTGCTTGCCCACTTTGTTGTCATCATAAACCATCAAATGGAGGAAGTGTGTGCGTAGCCTAAAAACCCATTGTTACTATCTGTGGATATGATAAGTGCGCACCTTATCTTACCCCTGAATATCGGTGGTGAAGTGGTTGAACTGCCAAAGGAACACCTCGCGTTCGCGCCAACGCGGCAGGTAGTCATCGCGCCAGTACTCCACGACCTCCCTAAGGTAATCCGTATTAAATCCGTACTCGAAGGCCACACCCTCGAGCGGAGGCGTAAGGCGCAGGGTGCGATTCAGGCGGTCTTTCAGATCATCAATGGTCTGTAGAGGATATATATGTGTTTATATATATATAGCACAAAATGAAGAGATAGACCCACTCACCTTCTCCGGATAACTAAGCCTATTGCCTATCACCTCCGAACTGTTTTTTAAATATGCTTCGTAATCCTTGGGCTCCGCCTCATCGCCCCACCACTCGTGGGGATTCAGCTTTGGCGCAGGCAAGTCCGCCCATAGCTGGGTCACATTCTTGTAGACAAGCCCGCCGCCAATGGCCAGTATCAAGACCAGAATTTTAACAGTGACACCCATCTGTTCCTATCTGCGGTTCCACTCAGACTGCCTCGGATTGCAGCTACGATTCCGACGATTCCCCATATCATTGCGGGCACAGCTCTCGTTTTCCACGCTCACGATGATAAGCGACTTTGAGTGACCACCCTACACCCTACGCCGATCAGTTGGGGCTTATCGCGGGATTACTTTGGACTCGATTCCACTGAGACGGGGTAGCGGCTTTCCACATCGTGGATGACTCGAATGAACCGGCTTCTTTGTTTATTTACTCGACAAAGCTCACATGCCGGTTTTTTGTTTGAAGCTTTTTCGGGGAAAGACCGGAGGGATTGTATGTACCATATAGAGAATGGCGAATTACTCATGTACATATATTTTGCGACGCAGCTGGGCTTCCAGGTGAGGTAAAAAGTACCCTCTATTTTTGCACTCAATGGGCTAGCCTGGTCATGTCTGAGACCTTTGTACCCAAGTAAAGCTGGATGTTCTTTCTATTGAAATATCCCACCCTCATGCCATTTAGCTGAGCAATGAACTAACATAGAACAGGATTCCTTGCAAAGGGTATAGCAATGTCGTCTATAGCCACTGGGTATAGGTTACGTAAGATCGTTCTGAGCTTAGATATATTATATGTATGTACTTATGAAAGCACCGCCACTCGTGTATTCCAAACAAAAACTCTTCAACTTTCGGTATTCAAAGCAGATAAGGCAAATAAAATCATCAAACCGATTTGATTTCATTTTCAAAACAAACAATACATTTTCTTTGAAGAACCACGATGAAAGTGTACAATGGATTCCTATAACTAATGATAAACAAATGCATTTACGAGAAACTAGCTTTCTGGAGAAAAGACACTAGGTCAAAGTACAGCTGCTGGGGCAGCTCAAAAGCGGGAAAGTGACCTCCATCCCGGTGGTGGCTACTGTGCACCAGATTGGGGAACTTGTTGGCCAAAACCGAGTCGGGGACATGCATCATCTCATGGGCGAAACGGGCGCAACCAGCCGGGGCCTGGATGGGCACGGAATCGACGGCCAGGGCAAACTGCGAGGCTACCATTGATTCTGAGTACAGGCGCATGGAGGTGGTAATGGAGTTGGTCACATAATAGATCATCACATTGTCCAGCAGCTGATCGTAGGTGAATCTCTTGGTCAGTCCGCCGTCAGGAAGCGATTTAAATGCCGGATTTGTCCATGTGGAGAACTTCTCCAGAATATAGCTAGCCAGACCAGTTGGATTGTCGATCAAAGCATTGCCGATGGTGTCTGGCTTGGAGGCCTGAATGTGGGCATAGCCCATCTCCTCCAGTATGGTGCTGAACAAGTGGCTCAGTCCCTTGTAGAAGTCCGCATACTGGCTGTCCACATACCAGCTGGGGAAGAAGGAGGCCAGCACCAACTTCAACTGGCCCATGGGGCTGTTGTTTCCGCACATATTGGAATGGTAGCCCAGCACGTTCTCCGGGTAAAGTGAGGCAACATTGGATCCGATTAATGAACCCCAGTCGCCACCCTGCACCAGGAACTTGTCGAATCCCAATCGGAGCATCAGATTGCGCATTACCACCGCCACTTGAGCCACTCCGAATCCAGTTTTTGAAGAGCCCTGAAGTTACAAAAATATTTAATTAGTAGGTAAATGCTGTTTAGTTTTCCAATTTGTGATTTGGGGACGGGGTCTTAAACTTGTCTATATATTAATGTCAAAGTAAGAGATAAGTTTTAGGGCTTATGACTTTGGGAGGTATGAAAGGCGATATATTGAAAATGACTTGCCAAGCAATTTATTGCCCTTCCTTAGAAAACAAATCTAACCTGGGACCATCCAAAGCCGGGCAGACTGGGTGCAATAACCTCGAAGACGTAGTCGCTGTAGTCACTGGGCGTGGTCAGGAGGGGGATGAAGTCGTAGAATTCACGAATCGTTCCCGGCCATCCGTGCATCAGAAGCAGGGGCATAACCTTCTTGGCCTTCTGGTCTTTCACCTGGCTTGGCTTGGCATGAATAAAGTGAATTTTTAAACTGCAAAAATGGAAAAAAATACTATACCATTTCCATAAGTAATGCCGCGCACTCACCCCTGAATCTCCGTTTGGTAGTGATCCAGCTTCTTGAGATACTGCTCCCGTTCGCTCCACTTGGCCAGATATGTATCTCGCCAGTATTTCACCACCTTGGCCAATTCGTTGGCATTGAACCCGTATTGAAATCCCACTCCCTCCAGTGGCGCCTGCGCTTTTAAAGGACGACTCAGCTGGCTGATTAGATCCTCAATAACCTTTGGTAAGAAGAGTAAGGGATTATTACATTTTAAAAATGACTAAGGAATAGATAAGATTTGATTTGATTTTCTCTAAGCTATGAGCATTTACCACATTTATTCAGTAGTTGGTATAGCCATTTATTCACCTCTGGCTGAACGCTGATGTCGAAGGGTAGGATGGTCATGTTCTCCCGATAGCGTTCCTTCAGCGTTGGACCCCAGTATTCGTAGTTGTCCAGATCGGGTCTCTTGCCGGGCGCCGAAAGATCGCGATAGTTATTATAGCCGACGGCCACCAGGATGATCACAGCTGCGACCAGAATCTGCGCCTTGATAGAAGCCATGGCGTGTCTATACTATCTTCTTTATACAATGTGATATATCTGGCGACACCAACTACACAACTGATCGCGTGCGATTGTGGCAACAGTGACACCAATTTAGCCTTTTTCCGGACAGATCTGTCCTGTTTTTTACAGCTTCATCCGGAAAAAATGTCAAACAGCCCTAACCCGGAAATCTGTCATTTTTTAAGTTTTTCTAGCCGGAAATCTGTCCTTCTTTGGCAATGTTACAATATTTAAAATATTATTGGCATAATTCCACATTTTTTTGTTTGCAAACTATGTGGCATCTCTTTAAGCAACATGTTATCGATATTGTGTGTAATCGTATGAATATCGAACTCACTTTGTCAAATTGCCTAAAGGAGAATACAAGCAAAATAATATATAAAAGCAAACATTTTGAGATTTCTGCCAAAATGCCTAAAGAAGGGTAAAGAAGGCGTTTTTTTTCTCAATTTCTCCTTTTTTTCAGAAAAATATTGGCATCCCTGATACAAAGTGCTACTAAATTAATCTCGAGCTGTTAGTAATTAAATAATAATGTATTATTTTGTCATAATTATATTAGTGAGTGAAATAGTGAGGTCTTTAAAGTGAGTAGTAAAAATTGTCTTAAATAAAGCCTGAGGAATGTTTAACTTACTGTCGGAACTCATAGTTATTGCCGCTTTGAATATTTGCTTAGGGAAAATATTTTCTTGTAGCCCTACAATTCCCAACTAGTTCTGGTGAGGACTGTAAGGCATGTCTTCAAATTTAGAGTCGCAAAATAGTTCAAGTCATCTCTCTTACCGGTCGAGCAGTGAATGTAGTGTATGTGTAGTGTATGTACCGGCGTATGTACCGGTGTAGGTATGTATGTATGTGTATGTATGTATGTGTATGTATGTTTGTTTGCATGCATGTATGTATGTATGTATGTATGTATGTATGTATGTATGTATGTATGTATGTATGTATGTATGTATGTATGTATGTATGTATGTATGTATGTATGTATGTATGTATGTATGTATGTATGTATGTATGTATGTATGTATGTATGTATGTATGTATGTATGTATGTATGTATGTATGTATGTATGTATGTATGTATGTATGTATGTATGTATGTATGTATGTATGTATGTATGTATGTATGTATGTATGTATGTATGTATGTATGTATGTATGTATGTATGTATGTATGTATGTATGTATGTATGTATGTATGTATGTATGTATGTATGTATGTATGTATGTATGTATGTATGTATGTATGTATGTATGTATGTATGTATGTATGTATGTATGTATGTATGTATGTATGTATGTATGTATGTATGTATGTATGTATGTATGTATGTATGTATGTATGTATGTATGTATGTATGCATGTATGTATGAATGTATGTATGTATGCATGTATGTATGCATGTATGTATGTATGTATGTATGCATGCATGTATGTATGTATGTGTATGTATGTGTATGTATTTTCAGCCTATGTTTTCCGTTTTTTTTTCTCTATCTGTCCTTTTCAGAAAAATATTCTCATCACTGGTGGGCAAATAAATGAGAATTTCGGCGAGCTTTTGGCAACAATTAGTTTAATAAAATGGTCAAGCAGTTCCATTTAAACTACGAAACTAAAGTGCACATGAAACGAGTTAAATTACACTTAACTAAATACAAAATAAATAGGGTAAATAGAATAAATGATTAAAACTCCAATTACCAACACGACAAGCTTTGATAATTGAAAATCAATAGCATTCAATTAATGACAGCGGATTGGTTACATTCAAAATTATTTGTTTACAATCGTAAAGTAAACTTTACATGAGAGCATTTAAATTAAAAACAAAATATCAAACAAACATATGTCACAACATTTTTCAATGACGGATGGACCAATACGACGGACGGATGGATCAATAATATGTATACTTTATAGGGTCGGAAACGCATCCATCTACCTGTTACATACCTTTCAACGAAACTAGTTTTCCCATTTTACTCTACGAGTAACGTGTATAGAAGTACATATATAGTCGTTCTTATCGACTGATAATCTGGAGATTGCAAAATACTGTTGAATGAAAATTAAGAACTATAAAGAGGAAGATCTACATATTTTAGTAAGTAATGCAGTCGCGACAAAGATGGTTCAATTGACATTTTGACTCCCAGCCATTGCAGTCTAATTGAAAAAATGTTTTGTGACCCATCCCCAAACGATTGTTAAATAATATAGTACTGCAAAAGCGCACATAAAATACATTGGCACATTGTAACGTCAGGTTAGTAGCTTATAAGCTATCTTTATCCAAGCCAAAGTACAAAGATCGTTTGGTAGTATAGTAACACAATTTATTTCCTCTTCTCACCATGGAGGCCAATCTTTGCCACAAAGGCGGTAAAGTCATTGAACAACATGGCCGGCATCTCCAGGGCGGCAAAGTGGCTGCCCTGCTGGAAGTACATCGAATGGGTGAGGTTGGGGAACTTGTCCCTCAGCTGCCAGTCGGTCACCGAGGGCAGATCGAATCGGAAGCGGGCACAGCCCATGGGAACCGGGGACTGCACCCGATCCAGCTGGAGATCCCTGTACTCCTTGGACACGTTCTCCAGATAGAAACGAGCCGCCGTGGTGGCTGAGTTGGTCAGGTAGTAGACCATCAGGTTGTCCAGCACAGTCTCCAAGCCGAAGACCGTAACTATGGCGCCAAAGTCCTGCTGCAGGCCCGGATTCGTGCAGGTCTGGAACTTCTCGAGGATATAGGAGGCCAAAGCCACGGGACTGGAGGTAAGAGCCGCTCCAATCGTATCCGGTTTGGTGGCCTGGATGTGGAAGTAACCGCTCTCCTGCAGCAGCTCCAGCCATTTGTCCCACACGGGGAAGTGATGATCCACAAAGAATCTGGAGGGCAGGTACTTCTCCGGGTAGAAGCTGCCGTAGATTCCCTTCAAAATAGCCAGTGGCGAGTGCAGAACGCACATGTTCGAGTGGTAGCCAATCACGTTCTCCGGATACAAAGTGGCCAAGTTGCTGCCAATGATGCTGCCCCAATCTCCGCCTTGGATGAAGAACTTCTTGTGGCCCAGACGCAGCATCAGGTTTCGCATCACAGTGGCCATTTGGGCGGCATTAAATCCGGGACGAGTTGCAGCCTAAAGTTATAATAATGATCATTACAAATCATCTGGTATCTAATCTCAGTTATGCTAATTATTCTTGTCACATGATTATTTAGAGCACTGATTAATTTTAGAAATTAATCACCTTGCTAGAAAAATGAACTCAATACTTCTTGAAAAGCAATGCCACTCACATCAGACCATCCGTAGCCCACCAGGGAAGGTGCCACGACCTCAAAAGCGTAGTCCGTGATGTTTGAGTGCTTGGTGAGCATGGGTATAAAGTCGAAGAATTCGCGCACCGATCCTGGCCAGCCGTGCAGCAGCAGCAGAGGATACACGTGTTTCGTTTCCTGGGCCTCCTCAGATGCCTTCTCGTGAATGTAGTGAATATTCAAACTGCGGGGCATTACGTATTTAGCATGGCATCCATATGATCAAAGCTGATTCTACCCACCCCTGAATTTCGGTCTTGTACTGCTTGAATGAGTTGAACAGCTCCTGGCGCTCATCCCACTTGGTCAGGTAATTGTCTCGCCAGTACTCCACAAACTGCTCCAGTGCGTAGGTGTTGAATCCGTACTCAAAGGCGATCCCGTCCAGCGGTTCGGTGAGTCTCAGCGTGCGGTTCAGTTCCTTTCGCAGATCATCGATCTCCGATTGGGGCACCTGCAGCGTGAACTCGTAGATCTTCTCATCGGGCACAAAGTCCTTGGCATCGCCAGGACCCCAGTAGGTGTCATCCTTGAACTCCGGCTTGGGCAGGGGCTTGGTCAGATCCGTGAACACCACGTAGCCATAGCCCACCAGGGCACCAAACAGGGCCACAATCAGTCCAAACACAATCAGGCACTTCATTCTGGCCACAGCTGCAATCACCTCCCACTCGTTATGAATTTAAATGAGCCACCTCGTACCTCCCAGCAGAGATAATGGTTAATGGATTCCGAACTCGAATCCGGAACATAGGCGACCGTACGCCCAGAAAGCCGCTAAAGAACTGACTGCCGGCGCATTTACTCATTCCCCAAATTGTCTCGCAAAGCTCTATCGAAATACGCTGTCGCCGTTATATTATATGTTCGTATAATATTTATAAATTCGTTTAGATAGCGCTGGCTATCGCGCACAGTGGTTCAAAATACGCTTTGTCACCTTGATCTTTGCTCTATAAGCGTGGTTATAATGTAGCCTGCTGCCACCTCAAAGGTTAATGGGTTTGGCCTGCTTTTTTGCTTACTTTAGCTATTAGATGCGTTTAGTTAAGTAATTAATACAACAAAATACAAATAAATTAATATTTCCTTAATTAGTGCTGAGCTAATTAGTTGGCTGGTCATTTGGTTAGGTATGGCAGAGCTGTATTTCACTGTATTTTTTCACTATATTATCAATTTATATCTTAGCTGTCTCCGAATGACTCAATACCAAGGTGCACTGCGGTTACTGGGTTAGCTACCCGAGTCTGCACCTTGAATAGCCCATTGATTTTCGACCGAGATAGGGTGACCCATACAGATGTACTTTATGAGACAAGAGCAATGGTGACTTGGGAATAGTGCCAGCTACTTAAAGGCAACCATTATCTTATCGTAGCTCTCCTGGAACTTATTTATTGGTAAGCGCTGCGGCGGCAACTGATCATAAATCTCGGCCCTTCTGCCACTGATGATGTGGCTTCAAACAAAAAGCGGAAAATGAATGAAATGAAGTCTGCCGATCAGAAGGCCACGTGGCTCCTATCACTATCTAAATAGAGTCCTAATGTTTTTATTTCACACTTTATGGCCAATCAAAGCAAGACCATTTGGCTTCTATCCTCAAATGGCCATAAGCTGCAGTGTCATGTGAGCACGGATAAACCTTTGGCCGCACTTCTCAAGCAAAAATACGCCCTGGCACTTGGCGTTTCTTCTGAGCCCCTGATCCTGCTCTTCGATGGGAAGAAAATCCAGGAGGAGGACACATTTGACTCTTTGGCCATGGAGGCTCATGACATCGTAGATGTTTTAGAAGGAAGTGAGTGCACGAAGACCGTGAAAACCTAATAAAGCCAAGTTAATGCAGGCAATGAACTACGAGAGGATAGCAGGCGACATATGCTAGTCATACACTGAAAGAATTCTTGTTGGATACAAATTGTGAAAATGTTTTATTTATAAATGTTTCATTAGTAATAGAAAGACCTCGCCAATACGTACTAGCTTGGGTGCAAACAAATTTATATTTCTGTGTGCATAAAAGGCCGGGGATAATTCGCATAAATTGTAAGGGCACCAGTAATGCTGTCGACATGCAACTATCGAGGGATTCAAGGGGCAAGGAGACTCGAAAAAAACCACAGAAGTGCCGCCAAACATGCAAGACAGCAAAAAGGAGGCGTGGTCGCCGTGGCAAAAACAATGATGTGAAACGTAATTCGAGCGAAATTAACGCAATTACCGTGCCGCAGTCAAAGGACTCAAATTCACTTCCGATGCACTGCAGCGGAAAAACATACAAAAATAAGACTAAAGTTTGTTCGCGTGCCGCAAACAAATCGCATTGATACCTGGAAGCGTGTCAAAGCTGCCACCTCCGGGGGAAATGGAGAGGTTCCTATTCCGGACCCGAATCGCGGACCATTAATGTCGGCTCCGCCGGGCTAATTCCCATTTTATTGAGTGCTCCAGTTACGGCCAAAGTTTGGCACCAACGCTGCCAATGGCAACCGCCTCACCCTCGAAGTGGGGGCGTGGTCTTAATGGTCGCAATTAGTTTTTCATCCAGCTGACACGCACTTGTCGTAAAAGTCCATTGAACCTGACGCTAAATTGATTTCCACTTGGGGAGGGCTTGGAAAAGTTATTCAGCATATTTTACCTATTAAACAAATACTATTTATAGCCAAAAACGTTGGAGAACTATGCCACATCGATCAAGTGAGCGTTGGTTTGTCATCGCAGCTTTGGCTTCATGGAACTTAATGAGTGGTTTCGGGTTCTACGCCTACATTCTGGATTGTTATGGTCAGTAAGTGCACGTTTCGCCAGCCATTTAATGTTTATATTTTTCTCCAGTAAATTATCCACCTGACCACCAGCGAAGGCAGTTCAAATATCACACTTTTGCCGGAACTATTGACAGATATATAGTTATGGGAATTACTGTCGTAATGCTATGCCAGATAGTAGCTTCGATTTTACTGTGCTTCGCACTAGATGAGGTGAGGTTGTATGGTCTGAAAACCTGCCAATAATACTTACTAGTCATTTTAGAAAAATAGAAAATGTCTTATTTACGGAATTTTCATCAGCATGGCTTTTCCATGTGCTTGTCTTCCGGTTTGGCCATTAGCTGGTAAGTCTTTTGAAATCCTGAAAATCTGGTTATATTCTGCTAATTCTGCTTTTTAACAGTCACCCATGTCAGTCTTGTTTTGGTAGTACTGAGTTATTACTTTGAGTAATTTCTAAAAATGTTAAATATGGTATTTAAAAATTTTGAGTTTATAGCAATAGATTTATTTTGACCCAAACCTATATTATAAACTATTTTCTGCCTAAAAGTAGGCCATAAAATGTGTTTGGGGGGTTAATTATTTTAAGAATGCTTATTTGACGTTATTTACTTATATTTATAAAGTAGAAGGACAAATTTAAACGAAAAGAAAAACAGTGAGAGAAATAATAATATAATAAATTAAACAGCACATGTCATATTTTTTTTTGTGATCCCAAAAGTATAGTATAGTTTTGATGAGAACATGTGCTTTTTATAATATATTTAATAAACAATTACAGTTCTTTGTGCATTTTCAAAAATCGCAAGAAACTTAAATTATTGCTTCAAGGCCCTGGTCATCATTTCCCCAGGGAAACTCGCTCTTTTCCGGTGGACCTTCACCTTTTGAACCGATTTCAAGCTCTATATAATCGGCAGATGACTGGGCTGTGACGTGTCCCAGCTGGAAAGTAAATATGCATATACTCGTATGTGTTTTTATTTTTCTGGACTCATTGTATATTTTCCTTTAGTGCCACTCACCCAGCAGACCAAAAAAATGGCCAATATTTTCATTAATATCGATTGTAACAACATTTCTCTCCGCTGCCTCGGCACTCGACTGCTGATGGGAAACTGTTTTTTCGTTTGCTCAACCTCTGCTTTTAATCAATTATCACTTATTAAATATTTATATTGGTTTTTTGTTTGCTTGCATACAAACATACATCGCTCTTTATCTGTCGCAGCGGAGAGGTTTTAAAATGAATCCATGGAACTGCGAAAAGGATAAAGTTTCTTTTTTTATTTTTAAGGGAAATCATAAATGTTTAAATTTGTAATAAGATGCCAAGGTTGGGATATAGGTTTTTAATTGTTCTACAAGATTCATACTTAAGGACTTCATAGAATAAGAGCCTACGAATTGAGTTAACATCTTGTTTGTCAAATGAATGCAAGTGTGAATTGAGTGCTTAAGATAGATCACCTGATGGTGCTTGTTTTTGCATCGGGGATTCATTTTTTATGACCGACAATCCCCCTCCGTTCCAATTATGGAACAATGCCATATGCTTTCTGACCAGATAAGGTTACGTCGGGGATTCCTTCTAGAAATCGGCCTATAAAAGAGCATCGGAACTGCATCAGAGGTATCAGACAAAAGATTGCAGTTCTTCCATTAAGATCAACCGAGATGCAGTTTGCCATCACCTTCGCCTTACTTTGCTGCGCATTCGCCGCTGTTTTGGCATATCCGATGCCCGACGACATGACCATGCCACCCACTCCACCACCCAAGTACCCACTCAATCTTGAGGGAGGAGGCGGTGGCCAGAGAGGCGATGGATTTGGCTTTATGGTCAAGGGACACGAGAAGGTGTGGACCAGCGAGAACGGACGCCACGAGATTGGGCTAAATGGAGGATATGGCCAGCGCCTTGGAGGACCATATGGCAACTCAGAGCCCAGCTGGAGAGTGGGAACCACCTACACCTACAGATTCCCGAATTTCTAAACTCCATAACACTTTTTTGTTTTTAAAAAAACTTCACAAAATTGTATTTCCTTATCTCAATTGTCATCCGAGTCCAGCTTTAAAAACCACATCCACTGCGTATGCTCAGATTATTTCGAAATATATTACCAAATACCAAACAACCATGTGCATACCTGACCATAATTTCACTATCTCAAATGCCATCTATGTCCTTGGCGTTGTTTGTTTACCCCGGAACATTCAGGCAGACTTCTAGAGCCAGAGGCTGGGCCACAGATGATCTCGCAGTTTGGCTAATTGTTGATACATCTTGTTTGGCCAACTCCGTTGGGTAATAACAAATTACGATGACAGGCGGTCTTAATGAAACCTGCCAAGACAAAATGTTTTTTGCTAATTGGATTTATTGCGTCAACTGTCGAGAGAACCTTCGATGGAAATTTATCATGCCGCTGGCGCATCATCCGCAACATCCGCAGCCTAACCCCAAGATTAAAATATTACGCCATCCCCAACGAAAGCGAATAAGATTCACCCAAGTGTTTGAAAAATGACTCGTGAAGAGGCTGTGTTCTAAACTCTTTTACAACCAAATTTGGGGATTACCAAAGCTTTTCACATCATTAATTCGAGCTAAGAATGGCCAAATTGAGTTGACCTTGTAAAATGATGAATCGGTTTGGGAAACTGAACTTTGCTTGGGGCAGCGGAACCTGTGAGGTAATTTTGTTTAGCTTTTTCTTGGCGGAAATCCAATTTGGGCGAAAGTTACGTGGAATATTCCTAATAATAAGAAAATGTAGTGGTTAGGTATTAAATGAGATTAAAAACCAGAAGCTGATATATAATGAAGGCTAAGGAAAAAGGGTTACTGTAGCTGACGATTTATTATAAGCAATAAAGCTTAGGTCACCAGAATGAAAGTTTGTAGTAATACAAAGATTTGCATCTTAACTGGAATACATAAAAAAGTTATAACTCAGGTGGGTTACTACAAAGTTCACTGTTTTTTTTTACTTTTAGAACGAATTATTGTTACCAAAGACTCTAAAATACAATTAGATTGTATTAAATATACATATTATATTATGTGCACCCATAAAACCACATATTTCCGAATATTTTCACAGCTGCCGCACATGAATGGATCTCAGGCCAAACACCTCATTATACATTGTTTCTAGATGGGGTTCACTTTGGTATAAGCCTCTGTTTGTGGTGCCTACACGTACTCCTTATCAACGAGATGTGGGGATCCACTGGTGAACCACTGCACCGTCTGCTCGACAGGGATTCCCAATTGGGGAATCTCATCTGCGCGTATTGATAAGGCACAGATGCGAGCTATATAAGGGCTGAGTTCGGCTCTAGCAGCATTCAGTTAACAAAATCTAAACAAAGCAATATGCATTTCACCTCAAGTCTTCTGCTCATTGGACTGGCTTGTGCCATCTCGAGCGCCTGGGCTTATCCCTATCCTGATCCCCGAGAGATTGCTAATCCGCAGCCCCAGCCACTGGCAGTAAGTCATTGGGAAACTTTTCACTTGGAGCCCAGTTTAATAAGCTATTTTTCTTAGTATGCTCCCAATTTCGATGTGCCCCTGCACCGAGTGCGTCGCCAGCTGCAATTGAATGGAGGTGGCGGTGGAAGCCCAAAGCACGGATTCGATCTGAGCCTCAATGGGCGTGCTCCTGTCTGGCAGAGTCCAAATGGACGCCACTCCTTCGATGCCACGGGATCGTACGCCCAGCACCTTGGAGGACCCTATGGCAACAGCCGACCTCAGTGGGGAGCCGGAGGAATGTACACCTTTAGGTTCTAGGGTACTTAAAGAGCTGCCTAATATTTAATATCAATTAAAGCCACATAATCTGTTTCTAAAACTACAAGTCACTTTATTTACAATTTTTGCTGTACTCAGTTCCAAACGAATTCCTTATCAGTTTGATTATAGGCAAATATAGTGGCATCGGGCTGGGGCATCAACATCTATAAGCACACAAAAATGTAATTCAGAAAGCAAGCCTCAAAGGAAAACCCTACCTCGTCGTCCCAGTTTTCAGACCCTCCACCCACGGAACGCCCTCGTATGAGGCCAACTATGTGGAGTACGAACCAAAAGAGCAGTATGTACATCATTTCAGCGAGAGAAGCGCCGTGCGACTGAATTCATAGCCCGACTTTGGTCCCGGTTCCCGAACCATTCTCAGCCAGCTGATAAGAAACTGATAAGGCCGACCACCGAATGCCTGGATGTGTGTCAAGAGCTTGCTCCAAAACAAGAGACCATAGCCCCTGGAACGGAGACCAGGTCAAAGCTAGAGCCAAAGCCAAAGCCCAACCCAGCTGAACTGTATTAAATTTTTGGGGGAACGTGCAACTGGCAGCCAAATTTGGCACGTTTTCTGTTGAAATCGAAAAGAAGCCAAAGCAAAAGCAGCACCACAGAGCCCGAAAATAATGGAAAAGCAAAACAAATTTAAATGTTAGAAGCAACTCAACAATGAAGGTCAGGCTATGATGACTTTTTTCCTGCACCTAGCCCCCATCCCCATCCCCATCCCCATCCTCATCCTCACAAAAATCACAAAAAAAATATGTATAAAGAAAACTACCGAAACAGCAATTTGGTTGCGCTTTGCCACTGCTTTGTTTTTGAGTCCAACTCGCCGTCTTGGGTTAACTGGCCAAGCTCCTTTTTGATAGCTTCAATTGCGGCCCAATTTTGCTTTTTATACCCTGCACTTTGCATACCCTTGACGATTCAGATATCAACAATCCAGGGCAAGAGCTGGCTGCAAATCGGACAAATACGAGCTTGAAATGCCATTTATAAACGGAGTAAACATGCCAATTTTTATGCTTTCCAACTTCCGCCGAAAACTGACCCCATACCAGATGCACTTTCCTCCTCTGGTTTCCACGTCATTTTCATATGGAGAGTGCTCCAATTCAATGGAAGAGCTATTTTCTGAATCAATGCGCAAATTGTCAAAGTCAAAAGCGGTAGAATTTCTTTTGTTTAGCTTCGCTCTGTTTTCCTTTGCATTTTCGCCTGAAATGGGGGGAAAATTGGCTCGCCCGGAAAATTGCTAGATGAGAGACGAGACGAGACGAAAGGAGGGGGGTATAGGGGAGACCTAAAGTGGGTGGATTGTTTTCCAAATTGCACATGTGGCAGTCAACTCATTTGTCAAGTGGCAAATCAGTTTAGGCCAAGACAGAAACACAGAGCCAAAGAGCGAGTTAGAGTCGGCGATAAAATCAACTTTGCATTTTCCATGTACTTCAAGTTGACGGGGAAGTTTTCCCGTCGCCGTTTTTGATCGTGACGATCGACGGCATTTCCCACGCAAAACTTGCCTCTCGGACCGAAGGCAACTAAATTGTTTGACACACTCAACACTCGGCGCTCGGCTCTTGTCTTTGATTGTATCGGAAACCGAACAAACATTGCTAAAATTTATGCTCTCCATAGGAAAAGTTTCCAATTAGAAAGTTGCCAAGGGTGGCGGATGAGAGGATGATAGGCGGCGAAATTCATCTCCCACTAATGGCTTTTTAATGAAGCCACCGAAGAACACCAAAGAACACCAAAGAACTTCCCCTCCTCAACTAAGCGTATTAATTATGACTGACACTGACTGCTAGCCAGGCCAAAGAAATGGCCAAGCGAAAAGTGCAAGAGTTAGCAGGTGCCGCACAGACTTGGCTTGGCTTTTCGCATTTGCATCTGACATTTGCCAAGATGCGCCGACCTGCAACTGCAGCTCCTACGCTCCACCGAACTCCGCTTCGCCCCGCTCCCTACGGATAGTCAAAAAAGCGGGATCGCGGCATTTTGGCCTGCTTACTGCATTTGGCCAAAATGTCTATAGTTCAATTGCTGATATTTTGGCCAGACACACGACCGAGCACGTGACCTATGCAATGGAGCAGCGCCAGCAACAGCCGATGGAACATCGCCGAGGATCGTGAGTCTCTCGTGATGACTGCGTGACACGAAAGGAGCATCCGAATCGGGGTCACCCAGCATTATATGGCAATCGGATGCTCTAGAAATCGGTATTTACATATAATGTCTACAGTTTATTGATTAACTTAAGGAGTAGCTTAGGTCACGTCTCACTTTATTGTGGATCTATATTTCCCATTTTTGAGCTAAGACAAGCACTGTGAAAACATATTTATGCCAGAGTTTCTTGATAGAAGTTATCCTAAATATTTGATGTAGAATATTGTATAACATTGGAAGCATACAGAGGTGTTTTTGCACCTCAAGAGAAGCACACGCTGCCATCCCTAAAGATCAGCCAATTTTGCGATGGGCAACAGTTTAATAAATTGTTCGACTTAGATTTAAAATAAATCGACATCAAAAGGTGCACAAATCTTGGGCTGCAGAATACTTATGCCTTTTATCTCACCTAATGATGGTTGACTCTAGTGGTTGTTGCTGGTTTCAGGCAGCAATTGCTGTTGTCATGCAAATTGGACTCACGTTTTGCACATTAAGCAACCGTCAATTGTTTCAACGAATGCAATGATTGAGTTCTTGGCACCTGGCCAAGCCTCCTGGCCCTAAGCCCCTCAAACTGAACAGACTTTTTTCTTATTGGCCATGAAGGCCCGCATGTGTTGCATGGGGAGTGCTTGGCTAATTGGCGTCCAGCAGCAAGCCGCAACTGCAACAATGCACCGACCAGCAACATTGAGCGGCAGGAAGAGACAGGAGGGAATGATGCCTCAACTTCATCTCGATCTTAACAGTAAAAATGAAGACAAAAATATTTACCGTAACGCATTAAGAGAACAAGAACAAAAGTTACTGATGCTGCTGATGTTGCTAGTCCTGCTGCTGCAGGCTGCCAGTTGCTGTTGCAGTTGCAGTTGCAGTTCCTATCAGTATCAATAGTAATTTGAGGCGGCTTATTTGGGGGAGGAGGAATAGTGTCGTAGGTCAGGCGGCAGCAGCAGCAGCAACTGCAGCAGCAACAGCAACAGCCGCAGCAGCAGAGGCAACTCCAGCAGCAGCAGCAGCAGCACAGCAACGAGCAACTGCAATGACGATTTGTGGCCAATTATTTCAAATATTGTATTGAAATTGTAGGCCAGTGTGAGTGTGTGCTTGTATCTGTGTGTGGTTATCTCTCGATTGGCATCTGCAGCAGGCCCAGTACTAGCATCCCCTCCGCCGCCATCTCCGCTCTCTCCACAGCCAATTGCCCCAATCTCACGTAGTAGCCCGTTCGAGTGTGTCACAAGTGACCAGTGCAAGTCCAGCCAGTCCAAGTGGTTGCCAATCGATGGCAACTCTCAGAAGCAGCAGTCCAACTTTCGGCTAAGGTCGCTGACTCCGTGCCGTTCCCACAACCTGACGCATCTTTGTCATGTGTCCGATTAATCACCACTCTTAGCCGCAACTTCACTTGCGGAACGACTTGGCCTGGCCGGCTCGACTTGGCCAACAATGGGTCACGTCAACTGGCAACTGGCAGCAGCAGCAGCAGCAGCAGCAGCAGCAGCACCAGCAGCAGCACGCGCTGGCTGACCTTTGTTGCAGCAGCAGCAGCAACAGGAGAAGCTACGGCAGTTATCTGACATTCATACGTTAATTTTAGCTTGTTGCATCAGTCAGATTGCCAGTGTCATTTTCTCACATTTACACTGCTCAGCAAAAATGTTGGCAAAGGAAGCGACCCACAAATGGTAAGCTACAGGTTGCAATTGATTTTTATATTATGAATTTACCTATTCAAACGTTCTTTGCGTTTTCAGCTGTAAAGTATAAGTGCGATTCACTCATAAATAGCCATATATCAATTTAAGGTTACAACTGGCTTGTGATCAATCAATACTTACGAATAATAAAGTGCATGTGAAGATTTAAATCTCACCATTCGCAGAACAATAATCCCACTTTATGGCCAGATAAGCTGGCAGTACTTAAAATAACTGCTGCCTAGTGTGGATTTTTAATCATGCATTTCAAATTCAGCAGCACGATCGAAAAACACAATCGACAACCAAGAAAGAAGCCCAAGAATGCAATGCAACGGCAACTGGCTGGTCTTGGCCAAGGCAGCAACTTATTAATACCTTATTAGACAAGGGTCGAGTCGCCGGCAATCCGTCTCCATGGAATATCAATGAGAACGGCACCAGCGGCGACGACCGCGGTGGCATTTCCGCTTAGCCGCCAACTAGTCCCATGGTGGCACCATGGGCGACAAACCAACGGTGACCGATCAATTGGCGTTTCGGTTTTTGGCTTGCAGCAGGAAATGCAATCATAAATCGCCCATGATGACGATGGCCGTGGCTAAGTCTGCCTGTCCTGTCCCTCGGACGTCGGGCGATGTTTATGTTCATGGCTGGGCAATTAGCCTGGCCGAGATCTGGGCCCAACCAGGAAACGATTCGCGTATGCGGCACTCTATGCGTAGGGTATTCTGCTCTTCAGTGGAAATTTTAAGTGCTATGGATAGAAGGCTGCATGTACCATTGGAGATCTTCACAAGTGATGCCCAAGAAGGGATTAAACGGCTTCCTAGCAGATTAACATGGTGTTTAAGCTTCATTACTTGCATGAGCAGGGTAGCTAATGGGACTCCCTAATAGCAGTATCCTTTGTTCCAGCCGAAGTGTAGGGTATAAACGCTCCAGACTGTTCCTAGCTGCTTTCCATACCGCTCCGCGGACCAAGCACTTGTCAGATTGCATGTTCAATTCTAATAATATAATCCACAGCTGCGGCCTTTAGTTTGCACTGCTTCAGAAATATTTGCGTGCCTGGGCATTGTCTAAATGGTCTGGGGGGAGGGGGATCCCCCTCATTTTCCAACCCACTTGGTGGGGTTTTTTCATCGCAGGGTGTCTGCATTACAACATCATTAGAATTTGATTTGCGTTTCCTTGGGATGCGGCTGCTGCTGCCTGGCCTTCGCTGCTAACGTGGCATTAAAGCCCATTTAGCTGTCGTGTGGCAATTATTGATCAACAAGGTGCCACAATCGGCCATGGCCAAGTACTAGCTTCTTTGGCTGTTAATTCTGCGTGGTCTTCTTGGCCTGTCCCGGCCAGCCGGGCATTTGCATAAAGCCGTTTAACCGTTTTGCCAGCTAAAAGCAATTTTATGCCCCCATGGAGACACGCCTCCCTACGCCCCTGCGCCCCAGCGCCCCAGCGCCCCTGGAATCCCTGAAACCGCACTTAACACGCTTCATTTGACCAAACTGCTGACTGGCGACGGCCGCTTTCGCTCAACGCTCCATGTCCATGGCCGCAAGCGTTTAAATATTTATGTCTTGTGTATTTAAGTTAATCACATCCGAATGATGAGCTTCAACTACTGTGCTGTGGCATCTTTTTCTCGGAGGCTGCTGAGGCACTCTAATGATTTGCATGGCCAGCTGAAGAAGGAAGACACTTTGAGCCTCAGACACTCGGAAAAACAGGACTGACAACATTCAGTGAGTATTTTCAAGCAATCTTGTGATATATTGTGTGGGAATATTTAAGCATCGAATTTGTTAATAAAATTATTTATGTTCTGTGTGCAGTAAGCGGGGATGTTTGGCCGCAGTTAAACTATTTCAAAAACCTTTCAAAAAGGCAATTAAAAAACCGCTGTGTGGACTCCACTGTGCGGCAAAGCGGAGTGTGGATGAACTTCTTCCTCCGCCACAGGTGTCATTTGTTTGCCACTCTTATTGAGTCGTTAACATTCCTGTGTTTTCCCGTTTTTTTCCCACTCTCCCCTTTTCGGGATATTTTAATTATTTAGTGCTGGTGCCCGAAGAAATAATAAAATAAACACAATCCAAGCACAATACCAACAAATTCCCTCACATTAAGCGGCGCAGATACAACAAATTACCCCGAAAATGGCCACACGAAATGCGCCAAACAAGGTGAGAGACACACTCGCCGAGTGCGACCTGTACAGTGGGGCAAGGCGGCGGACAGAAGAGGAAAAGGAAGCTGGCTTCCCATCAGTTCCCATAAACATGTCCCCTTCCAATTTGCTTGTTCGCTGCTTGCGTTGCCGCGACTGTTTTAGCATTTCATTAATTTATGTTTATTGTTAACACACACAACACACACACACTCACACGGAGAGAGACCATTGCCAATTGGCCTGGCTGACTATTTTTGGAATTTCTTCCATGTCTTCCAGGTCTGGGACAGATTAGGCTCTGCCAATTTGGTGTGAAGTTTTGCATTTGCTCCTTTGGCGGTTCAAGTCGGCGACTAACGGCAGCTGGCAGAGCATCAATCAATGCGGTCGCAAATCCAGTTGCAGTTGCATCCACTTCCAAGCCCACATCCACCAGCTTGTGGGAGGGGAGACCCCGAAATCCCAGAGAGCAGTGGGCTGCCAACTGACCTTGCAATAAGGAAGAGACATTCGTCACTGTCTCCACCGAAAGCGGCAGCTGAAAAGTGCACTGGCCAAAAATAATTGCCCTCTTGTAGTGACTCATTTTCAGCATTTAAAGTTAACTAAGACTATTTTAAAATTATATTTTGAGGCACATGGGCAAATAATTATTTTTTATATAGAACCCCACAGCCTTCGTGTGAATTCCCCATACCATTTCGGCTGGGCAATTAGTCTGGAGTTGGGTCGCAACCTCGGCTTTTGAGCTCCATCTGGCCCCAACTACTGGGCTCTAATGAGCGCAGCCTCCGTCTGGCTTACAACTTTTAATTTATTTATTTTTAATATGCTGCACACTGCAGTCGGCCGTTTTGCTCGCCGCCGTCCGCCAAATTTTACAACTCAATAAATTGGCAAGGCAAAGGCTTTTCTATCTCCACGCTCCAATCATATGTTGGCAGTATGGTGTGCGCGCAATTATTGTTCTAACGGCATTTCAAAGCAATTTAGTGCCGCCTTTTTGGGTGGGCAGCAGTCCAATGACCGCGGTCCAAACTGCATTGTCTGCCTCGCGATGCCCCCTCCTGCCACATACACATTTGCTATATAGAAGCTCGCAACTTGTGATCCAAACTCCAATTTGAGGCTCTCAGTCTGCGTGCGCCGCCGGCGAAATAGAAAAAACGGGAGAGAACGTCACAGTCGGGTGTCTCGACTATCATGTACCCACTACTCTGCTCAAGGAAGTTCGTTGATTGCTACAAATTTTGTATTAAATGTTCGAATTTGAAACTGTTGAATATTTATAATATATATTATTTATATGTCAAACAAAACTGAAATCAGCAAAGATCTTTATACGGACGGACAGGACGTTCGCTGTGCAACATACTATTAGAGCAACCCAGCATACCCTGCTACTCTGCTTGCAATGGGTGTAGATACCGAAACTACAACTTCTGACTATGCCAATAGGCCGCCGCGCACAAAATCATCAACATAAATTTACTTTTAGTGCGTTGGGCTGACTGGGGGGAAAATGTTTGGAGAATGGGTGTTGAAACTCATAAAGAGAAGCGCCGCTTTCGGCCATAAAATTGACAGCTTATGGCCGGGAAATTGATAAACGTAAACAATGGACGATTTAAGTCGAACTAAAACTATTCATTACGATCGATAATTTTGATATTGCCAAATGTCCTGGACTAAATGCTTTTATTTTGATGCAGTAATAATGGTTACTTTAATGTGAATTTCCTCGTAACATTTAATGAATAAAAAATACGTTAAAGGTGCGTTATATATAAGTCAGATTGTAATAAATTACGCGTGACATTGATTGATTTTATTTTATATTAAAGAAATACAACTTATTTCGATATTTTCCTAATATGCAATATATTTAATCGCCCTCTGATATACGCATTTAAAGTCTTAATTTATGCATTTAGAACATTTGAGCTCCCATTTGTGGTTTTAATTATTTTCTTTTCTATTTTCTTTTCAGCCACTTATCAAGCTTGGGCTAATTTGTTGAGCGCCGAGGTAAGGAAATTTTTAATGAATTTCTATTATTCACCTCTCTTTCCATGTGGCATGTGCAATCGGCGGGGGCGAAAGAGACGCAAGGTGGTGCCAAGCGGCGTTAAATGTTTCGCTGGTCGGAGTACCGTTGTTTGTTGTGCGTTATGCTTTGTTGATTGCCGGCGACAACTTCCGACGCACTGCGGCAGCAGCAACAGCAGCAGAAGCAGCAGCAACCCCAAAGTGGACGCTCCATTGCGGGTGGTGAGTGGTTTCCAGCCCGTTCTGGTTCGGAGTTCGCCATTATTTGGGGAGCCGAGCCGCACAATAAACAAAAAGGCCAAAAAGCGGGCAAAAGAACAAGCTTAGAACAACTCGAAAAGCATGCCGAAAAGTGTATTTAATTTAGCAGTTAATTAAATTTTCTACACTTCGAATGCGACCGTTCCACTGGTCGAAAAAATGGAATGGAATGGAATACGGCAAAATTCGTATGCTCCTCTTTTGTTTTAATAACTTTGATTGGTTGCGCAGAGCTTGAGGCGAAGTTTGTGGCTTGGTCGGCAAGACGGGCTGGTTGGCCATAAAAGAAGGAAATTGGACGAGATGACAACACCTGCTAATGACCCAAATTGGCGACTGCAGCAAAACACTGGAAAAGCTAATGGCCAACACCTGCTGTTTGCATAATTTTATTGCCCGATTCCCCGATTCCCCGATACCCCCGCCCTGCTCTCCTTTTCATTAATTGGAATTTCTTTTGGCCCGACTTGAAGCCCGCTGTTTGTAACCACCGATTGGTGGGCTGCGGCTTCTTGTCTTTTGTCGCGCTTGAATTGGCAACCGTAAACAACAGGGGGAAAAGCCGGCAGAGAAAACAATGAGCAAAGGAATTAATAAAGTTATGAAATAACCCAAATGGCTAAGAAAAAGGTTCCGAACCGAACCGTGTTCAATACCATTTGTGTTTCTGGGTGTGGACTTGCAAACTGGGGAGTGTGGATGTGGGCCAAAAAAACAGTAGCCGGAAAACAATTCAATTGTTTCGATGAAGTAATTACAATTTGTGAAAATAATTGAGGCCAGCGATTTGAAAGCAGGCACAGATACAAGTATCTATGTTTATCTGTCACAATTCCAAAGCTTGTCGTGGATTTAGCGATTCAATTGAATATATTTAACCCAATCGATTTGGATTTGACTTAAGGCACGTTACCCACATTTGTAGGTATCCAGTTAAATTCCTTATGGAATAACTCGTCTTGGAACTTTGAATTAATTGAGGCATTCACGGTCAGGTTGTGGTTTAATATGTCATCCAAAATGGGTGAATAATAACAATGGATTCATCTATCACCTAATGTTAAAGAATATATTCGATATAATTGCACATACCTTTTATGATAATTTACATTTAAAATATATTAATTTCTTGGCAGAAACACTAGTTCTCAGCTTACTAATAATCAGAACCCTAGCTCGACAAATGTTACTGGAAATTCAGTCAGCTCTTTGACAAATCGAAAATCAATACCGCTGAGTTGCAGGAGCCAATCAAGCCAAGTGTATCGAGTGGCCAAACTTTGGCTAATTGTTGCAATTGCACTTAATGAAGTCATCAATCGGGCAAAAGTATTTCAATTTATTTCCCCTTGCGGCAATCGCAATCGAGAAGAGTGAAAATTTGACTCAATTTGGGCAAACACTTGAAACTGTTTATTTATTTATTTGCTTATTTATCAACACGCCATGGCAACCACCCACTAACTTGAACAAAAACTGAGTACCAACACACAAACAGCCACCACGGAAGTACAGAGTGTGCGTGTGTGTGTGTTGGCCAAGTCACAGCTGTTTTGCCGGTATAACAGTATGACACGTAAAAAAGGTAAACAAACCGGCTGATGCAGTTTTACTTCCGCCGAAGAGAGCAGTGAGTGAGTTTTCCAGTTAAGAGAGCGGGCCAAAACACGAAGAGCGGCTTTGAAAAATGGCCAAGTCATTTGAAGGGATTTAAAAAAGAATTTGGTTTTCGGAGCTAATTGCCTTCATTTGTTTGGCTGTGGCCACAGATGAATTGCCTTGGATTTTTTTTGGCTCTTGGCCACTTATTATTTCTTACCAAATCTGAAATCTACTACTATTTTCTACTACTAAGTGCGGCCGAAAAAGAGCAACAGTATAAGCCGAAGCCGAAGCCAAAGCCAAAGCCTTCGACTTCGGGCCATGCCGGCGATGCACGAAAACCAGTTCGTGGCCAACTCTTCCTCTTCATCTGGGCCAACAGCGCGAATGCGTTTTGTTTGGCATTTCAGTTGAGCTTTGCCAGCCGAACGAAGAAGTCGAACTCGACGCTGCGTCTCTTTGCGTGTTGGTTTTCCCAATACAAATCCCTCAGTTCGTGTCCGCGCTTTAGAAAACTGAAAACCCAAAGAAGCAGCAATATCACTCGCAGCAGCAACAGCAGCAGCAGCAGCAGCAACTGCTACAGCAGCAGCAGCAGCCGCAATAAAATCAAAACACGTTTTACTCCCGCACATTGAAAACGGTAATTTGAACCCAAGAACAAAAAGCAAAATAAAATCGCTGAATTAATTATAAACGGCAGCCTGTTTACCAAAGTACGAGTATATAAGAACAAATATGCTGCCAGACATTTTTAGGCAAATTAAAATCGAAGATTTTGAGGACAGGAGAAATGAATGCCAGTGTGGCCGAATGCGTGTGTGAGTGTGAGTGTGAGTGTGCCTGCCTTCTAAACAGCCTTGAAAGCTGGCTGCCAGCCTCTGTCAACCGAATAGTTGCTGCTGCAACAGCAACATCTAGCGACAGCAGCAGCGGCAGTGGCAGCACCAGCATCAGCCGCAGCAGCAACAACTGGCAACAAAAGGCTGGCAGCAAGTCACAACAAAAGAAAACAGAAGCGGCAGCTGACTTTATGACGTCGCCAGGCCTGGCGTGTTAACCTGGCCAAGAGCAGCTACCTTTAATACCTATAGCTACCTGGCTAGACATGAAAGCCCGTGCTTGTGGTGTCTATCTGTTGCAACTGCAACCTAAGCGCTCACCAACACACACGAGCGGAACTAAGCCCAGACTAAACACACGGCATACACACTGCTGCACGTGTGGAATGAAATTCGCTTTTGTTTTATGATTTTCATAAATTCTTCAACAGCAAACAAACGAAAAAAGTTTATATTAAAAAGAAGAAAATAGCTAAAAACGCGCAAAAAAAGTTATAAGAAAAAATCCCTGTGTGTGTGCGAGTGGAAAAACCGGTTGCAGTTAAGGTTCCCGAGTCGCTGGGTGTTTCAGTGTGTGTGTGTGTGTGTGTGTGTGTGTGTGCGTGTGTTTGGCTTTTTTCGCTTGGCACAGGGCGAAAATAAATAAAAGCGATTAACTTGAGACAGTTTTAGTAGCCACTGTCCCCCTCCCTTCGCACTCTCCTGTGAGCCCTAGAACCCCAGATATAGCCTTAATCCCCCCGGAATCCAGCGAAAAAGACGGAATCTGGGGGGCAGGCAGTTAGCCAAGTAGAAAGGAAAATTTGCAGACATTTGTTTGCCGGCAGATTTTTTCATAATTAAAACGGCTTGGGGCCTTTGGTTAAAAAATATTTTGTGTATTGCATTACTTTTGATATTTCATTTTTGTAATTAATTAACATATTACCAGCATGTTCAGCATAAATATACATAAAACACACTTCATGTAATGCTTAACTCCTAATTTATTCATTATTCATTATTTTGTATTTCTTTTTTATTTCAGCATTTGCCATACACAACAAGGATTTAATTAGCAATCGAAAAACCATTTAATTTGGTTTATAATTTCCGAAAATATTTGTGCTTGTGTTTTCCAATGAAAGTGTGTAACCAAAAATATGGAAATTTCGCTTATAAATATTGATGTGTATTATTGAATATTTGTGTCTTTTACTTTGAAGTCGGTTTCGTTTTGTGTGTCGACATTTTGCATTATTAATTACAATTTACGTTCATCAAGTGGAAGCAAGTCAAACAAATTCAGAGACAATTTCAAAACAGGGAAAACTATGTCTGAACAATGTGAGTAAATGAAAAGCAATTATGTTTTCAGGGTTTCTTATCCACATATCTTTGAAGTGCGTTTAATTACCGTCCTCATTGGAATTTTCATCCCGCTCCTATTCTCTTGGGGGCCTTTAAGCAAATTTGGCAAATTTTCAATTTAAATTTGCAATTAAATTGGATTGTTTTGCATCTCATTTGCTACCTCATATCCCGTGTGTAATGCTATCTAATCAGCATCTTTCCATTATTTAATCGTTTATATTTACACCCTCTTAGTCACCCACTGCTGCAGCTCAGCAAATATTACCCATACGACATGGTAGCCCAGCGAATCGTGCTCGGCATGCTCGAGTGGGGCAAATCAATTAAAGTTTCAGAGATTTTACGACCACAGTAACTAAATGATGCTGCTCGCTTGAAACCGACTTTAAAGGCGGCGGACGCGCCTCCGAAAAACTATCCAAACAAATATCAACAAACGCGTGCAACATTTGCATAAATTCCAATACACGCTTTATTATTATTTCTGTTGCTGTTGGTGTTGCGTTTTTGTCGGTTTGTGTTTTGGCCAACTCTCGAATATTCAAAAGCCAATTGGGCAAAGTTTTTTGCCAAATATGCAAATACACGCGTCGAATAATATTTTTGTTTGACAATTTCTGCTGGCATTTTATCTGTTTTTGTCGCATTTTGTGGCAATTAAACGACAGCGAATTAATCATAAAAAAGGCGTAAAATTTTATTTACAACAATTATTCGCCAGCTGTCGATGCGGCCGGAATGTTACAGTCATAAGTATAAGTCGATTCGATGATGCAAGCCGTATATTTTATAATATTTATCACTGGTATCTAACATTGGCTTATAGGTTCCCGTTTTGAGCTACAGCAACGAATCGCACTGTACCACCTATTTCATAAATGAAATTGTGTGTACAAATGATGCACGTGGGCATTGGTTGGCTTAGGTCGAATCAACTTGATTTATGTAAATTGGAAACTGTTCGCATAGCAAAACAAAGTTTTAATTGAGGAACGAGATTAAAATGCACTTTTCCATTGGCTGTAGTCAAGAAACAACACACAATGGCTTATAAATTGCACACTTGAAAAATATTTCACATATTTCCGGATAATTAAATGCACAGTTTGAATGAAATTGGACATTGAATAAGGGCTTAAGAATTTTTCATCGCAATACTTTTGCTTGATCCAAAAATGAATTCCTTTGCCGCCTTAATCCTGCGGTAATCCCCAATGGAGATTCGAGTTTCAGTGGGACCAAAAATATTTTCCACTTGAATGCCGGAACAGAAATGCAATTAAATTCCACTAAATGCAGCAGCTTGTGGGCGGAATGGTTCTGAATGAGATTGCAATGGGCACCGAATCACTTTTGCCCCACCCTTCTTTTCCTTTTGCAGCTAATTAATTTGGCATTAATTTTAATGCAATTTGCTCGCTTATCGCAAAGGCCAATAAATCAACACGGAAATCGGATTCCCATAATTTCAAATGCACCACATAACTCATATTTGCCTTCGGCTTTTGGTATCGGTTAATTAAGAACACAAAAAAAAAAAAAGAAAAAAAGAATGAGAATTGAACACCATTTAAAGCCCAACAACGGTAGGGCAGAAAATAATAAATAAATTGCGTAGATCAGGAATTATAGCATTTCTGCCCTGTCGAGCGTTAAATTGAAGATAATTTTTAATTATGCCCACAGTCGGGCCGAGCGCGCACGTTAAATTGCCTTTTAAAATTCAATTTACATTCGGTTTGGCTTTTCCGTAAAGTGTTCACTTTGGGATCGCTGCTCCAGTCATCATTACTTTGCGAGGGCCCAAAGGAGAGTTTGTCGAATAAATAGGTTGGTACAAGGCTTAAACACGATTTCCAGAGCTAAAGTTCCCGTTTGAAGGCTTGGAACTATTTACTCAATTAATGTAATATTTTATAATTACTTTGTGTTCTTCATGCACTATAAAATTATAGATGAGGCATAGTAGGGTGATTTTCCCAAAACCTAATGTTATATTTCTATGCTATATGTATCTTATATGTAACAAAGTTCCATTCAAAACTCTTGGAACTTCCTCCGCCAAATTCGGACGCGAGGAAACCGGAGACGGCCAGAATAAAAACAATTACACGCATGTGCGTAAGACTTTGGCAACTTTGTGGCTGGGCCAACTGGGCACCCGAAGATCTTTGGATCTTTGAGCTCTGGGATCTCTGCCCCTCGCACTCCCCCTCCGTTGCCATCGTATTTTTTACTCTACAGGAAGCTGCGTGGCTTTGGCATTTAAAAACGTATTAATTTTGACGCGCCAGGCCGTAGTTGTTGTTTATGCTCGTTGCGTGAGCCGACACTGATGATGGTATCTGTATCTGAATCTTTAGCCATGTCCGATGCCGATGCCGGTGCCGGTGCCGATGCCGATGGTTCGTCTGTGTTATATCGGAGGCTCCACCGATGAGAGGAGTGATATAAATGCGAATAAGTTACGTCAATTTTCGTGTGTTGTGTGTCTGCCCTGGCCTTTGGAATACTTTATCATTTCGTTTTTGTTCCTCCTACTCCTCCATCTGCTCCGAAAACCCCTTCCTCGGCCATTCTGGTTCTTTTCTGGTATTCGCTCGTCGAAGGTCTACAACCTTGGGAGAGTTAAGTCAGCTTTACTGGAGCTGGCTGTCACTTCAACTCCGGCGATATGGGAGATTTCCT